GAAATTTTAGTCATAATATAAACCAAAGAATCACCCCCTTCCGTTTGTACATGATATTTAGGAACACCCTGTATATGAACTTGGTCAACGAGCTGGAAACTACTCCTAACTGGTCTAAATTTCCGTTGGCAATGTAGGTTTTAAAAAGGTTTTTCCAGGTATTAAGCAACGTGGAGTGAAGGATCGCAGTCCTTGTTTAGGAATTTATCCGCTGTACTGCGGATGCAGGATTCCCTAGCCAGTACTTTACGCGTTTCGTCCTTATTTGGACTCATCAGAAGGACATAGCAGCACTGTTTGAACAATATTGAACTTTGTAGACGAACTAATAAAGGACTGGCTTGGGGAATCTTGAATCCGCAGATCCAGGGATAAATTTCCAAACAAGGAATGTGATGACCTCAACTTGACGTTGGTTAATACCTGGGCAAACCTCTAAACTATTTTTTTTAAAAATATATATGCCTATATATGTCAATCTTTTTGAACTTCTTTTTATTTGATGTGTATATATGTTAGGGGAATTCGATAATACATTTTTAAATATTTTATACCTAAAAAAGTGTTTTATTTTTCAACCAGCCTTTTTTAAGTTCTACTACTTCTACTTGTAAATTGAGATGGACGATGTTTCTAATGAAAGTTGTGCAAAGAGTGCAAAGACCAATAAATAGTAGGTAGATTCCAAAGTTTACTTAGAACGATAATTGATACTTCATGCCATGCAAATTTTAATTATACAGGCAAAACGAGCGATTCCGCCAGTAGAAAAAGCGGTTTGCAAGGTATATGGCAGTTTCGGGTCAGAACCAAAAGTCCGAAAACGAAACAATCGACCTTTTATTATAAAAATGAAATGTCATTTTTGAAATATTTAAGTTTAACTCCAAAGTCTGAAGAGTCTATAGAATGCTGGGGACTTTTGGCACTAAACTTGGGATGGGTTTCTTTGCTTTGCTAGCCACACTGATGAGATCTGATAGATCGAAACGCCTCTGTGGATGAAAAGCGGGGAAAATTCATCCAAATTTTCATATTCTATGTACATAGGAAAAACTTGTGGAAAATCAACGGAATTCCACTTGTAGTGAACAAAAATCAGCTGCAAGCGTCAATGCGAAGAGGAAGCCTCTCCACCCGACCATTATTCTCCAGGAAGAGTTTGAAAATTAAGAAAATGGATTCAAAAGATCAGGAAAACATAGGTGTTGATGCAATGATTTCGCGTTAACTTTCTTGTGGATCAAATTCGACCCTGTATAATAGAGGCATGCATTTTGTGTTCCATATATGGCTGAATTCATAGAAGCGCATCGCGCACCTCCTAGGAATACCTAGCGAAAAAGGTAGTACCGACAGTACCATCGATACGATAGATTTGCTCTGGTGCGAACCCACTCCATTCGGCGGTTCCTTTCGCAAAGATTTTCGCGACTGTTGAGTTTTTACTCCAATTTCTCGCCGTTTAACAATTGATCGTGTGTTTAAGCCTACAAGGGGCGCCCCAAAGTTACAAGACCACAGAAGCCAAATTGGGTAAGCGACAAACAACCTTCTTGCATGACCTCACTTCCTTTCTTATTTTTTTCGTGTAATAAGGACGCAATATTCGCTATACAGTCCAATAATAATTCAACCGTATCAATTGCATCCTCAATAAGCGAACCTAAATTATCCTTTCTAAAACCTCATTCCTTTGCCCAAATCTTTAAACCCTCCCGTGCTGAATGAAAATAATAAAACCATGCAATGCCACTATTCAAAAATTATCTGAAAAAATAAATGAACTGCTGAATGCAGGACACAGAACCTACAATAACCACTCAATTTTTTGCTTCGCAAAATCCAAAGGGAAAAAAGTAGCAAACAAAGATGCTAAACTATCCAAAAACCACTAATCAGAGACTGCAACAACACATGGAAGAAAACGCCGAGAATTTTGAGACATCCCAGATAGAAAATCACACCAAAACGGGAAAAATTCCCCCGATTACCATCCGAAACGCAGGTAAATGGATGGAAATTCACAAGGAACTTATTAAAGAACCCTTCAATTTCAAAGATCTTAAAATAAACAGGAATGGCATTCAAATTTCGCCTGAATCATCAGATGATCACAGAGCGATCACAAAATTCTTAAAAACAAAAAACATTGAGTTTCACACTTATATTCTACAAGAAGATAGGCTTGAACACAAAAACCTATTACCAGGCGAACAATTTGGGTTCAGGCAGAATCATTGCACAGAATTACAACTAGCCAGAGTAGTAGAAGACTGACACAGGGTCTATAAAGAAAAGCACAAACGGGTGTGGTGGCACTTGATATTAAAAAAGCGTTTGATAAAGTATGGCACAATGGCTTAGTGGTCAAACTTCATGACAACCTAGATGTCCCATCCAACTACGTACAATTTAGTCAAAACTATTTAGGCAATAGAAAATTTTCGGTCAAATTGAATGAAAAATTCTCCCGATCAAGACCCATTGAAGCTGGGGTCCCACAAGGTTCTCTCATTGCCCCAATCCACGACAATCTTTTTACTGCAGATATCCCCAAACCAATAAACTCAAAGATTGCATTATACGCAGATGACACTCTTATATATGGGACGGAAAAAAATCCAGTAAGAAATCATATAAGTTCACAAAGAGCTGTTAATAAAATTTCTGAATGGGCAGACAAATGGAATTCAAATCAATGAAGAAAAAACACAGGCAATTGTAATTACAGGCAGAAGGAAAAATAGAGTTCCACATATAAATATCAATGGTATAGTCATTCCATGGTCCGAAACAATCAAGTACCTAGGACTAACATTAGATCGAAAACTTAATTCTAAAAATCATATAGAAAATAAAATAATGGAAGGCAACACCACTTATGGAGCTCTATATTCACTTATTGGCTTTGAAAGTAAACTAACAAAAAAAAAATACTATTATATAAACAGGTCATTAGACCCAATGCCCCAATCACCTATATAAATAAATTACAAACCTTTCAAAATAAAATTTTAAGAAGAATCATCAGAGCTCCATGGCTTATTAGAAAAAATGACATCCATAATGACCTAGCAATTGACAAAATTAATGATAATCTGATCATGAGGCATACCAAGTTTCTGCAAGCAATTCAAACACACAATAATCAAAAAATTAGACAAACATTCAGCCTCGCAGCAACAAACGCAATCAGTTATAAAAACCTGCACAAACCACCAACTTTCTGATATATCACTTCCCTTTATCCCTGCTCCCATCTATCCACTCCTATCCTAATCTTACTGGCTCCAATCCAAACCAGTAAGCAATAAACAAAAATCAATTATCAACAACTTCCATTTCACAAATTTAGGCCACCTATTAACGATCGAGCAAAGGCGTAATATGCCAGCTTAAAACAAAATGTAAAAACCACGGTGAACCCTGATGAGATCTCATAGATTGAAATGCGTCTGTGGATGGAAACGCGAGGAACATTAACCCAAACTTTTACAGTCTATGGAATGTTTTATAATAGGTCTTCAATCGCTAGCAGAAACCTATAAATATGTTCAGAATTGTGGTCAGAATGATACAAAAACAGCTTACAACTTCAAGCCAATTTAACATTAGACGACTATGTCAGAACAGCTATGGGGATTTTCAACTGGTAATCAAGACAACAAGCATTCCAAGTATAACTTTACTCAAGGTTCTAGGAGATCCGAGAGAGTTGAAAGAAACGACGTGAGGTGAAAAAGTGATGGTCTTGTGATTGGCAGCAACATGGTAAGAGCCAATAGAGACAACTGTCCTGCAAAGTATTCAAAATGCTGGAAAGTGGGACATTGGGCTGTGCTTTGTAGGAACTTTAATGAGGTCAGATCTTTAGAATTTGACGATAATAATCCTAATAATAGGCTAGAATATACCAAAAATAATGAAGAGAATGATTTTCTAGGGCATATTCATGTAAAAGTAAATAATATTGAATGCAAAGAATGGAACATACATTTGTGTTTGAACTAGGCAAAAATTTATAGTTTTTGGTAGATTCTGGGGCAGATATAAGCTGTATTCCCAGCAGTTTTCTAACTTCAGATTTATTAGGAAACTTGTATTCCTCTATAGTAAAATTATTCTTCCTAATGGTTCCAAGTTAGAAGTAATTGGTACACTTTCTGTGGAGCCTATTAGATATTTGTTAAACTGACCTATTTGGTTCGTTATTAAATGTTCAACAAAACCTATTTTGGGCCGATCAGCTATCTTGGATCTAGAGCTGCTTAGTTTGCAGATGAAGTAGGTTCTAAAGGCATTTATGCAGTCGAAACCCCTAGTTAAGGTAAAAAAGTTATTTTTCTGATTTATTTAAAAATGTAGGCATCTTTAAAACTGACATGCTTATTGAAGTGAGAGAGGAATTTCAATCTTACACATTCTGCACCTCAAGTCGTGCCAATTCCCTTGCGAAAACCCCATAAATCAGAACTTGAACGAATACAAAAATTCGATATAATTCGGCCTATTGATGAATATACCCCGTGAGTCAGGCCCATAGTAATGCCAATAAAAATTCTTAAATCAGACTATACAAAACTAAATCAGGCGGTTTTGCCTCAATGGTACTTTCCTATAGGTAAGGTAGAAACAATTTTAGTCTCAACACATCACCACTTTTATAAAACCTTTTGGTAGATATTTGAAGGGTTCCTTTGGAATCACGTCTGCACCAGAGTACCTTTTTTCTTATTCAATCACTAACAAAAATTTTGCTTTTCACATATAAATCTTGTGCAAATGATCTTCGATTTTATCTTTTCTTCCAATTGACGATAATTGAAAACTGCTGCTGCCATGAAATGAGGGGATGTTGATTGTCCCTTACTGTTCAATAAAACATATTTTAATTTTTTTTTTCCTCTGTATAAAAGCATCAATATTGCATGTACAATTTTATTAATTACATGAAATTAGAGTCATACATAAAAGAATAAAGAGTCGTACATAAAAGAATAAATGGAAACTAAACCTATACCTAACTAATGCGTTTTATATTTTCATTACTGAAATTACAATAAAAAAAATAATTTTCAAATTATCCCAATTGTTGTAGGAGAATACGTATATACACAAGAATTTATAATCAATACATTTTTATGATGTGGTGTTATGCAAACAGTACCAGAAATTATCGTCAGCAATTTCTAACCCTTAGAAGTTGAAGAACAGTAAACAAAGAGGACGCTGTTCAAAAAAATGTGGACAATGATTATAAATATTGAAATCAATGACCCCAACGTGGCCCTCTCTTGGAGTTGCTTCATGACCCTGGTAAACCCGAGGACTGAAAATTGCTGCGATTGATTTATAAATAGTAGGTATACTACCCACTTGACACCATGCGGTACTTGGCTGGGCTTTTTTACATAAATCACAACATAGTTCCCCAAAACTACTTTTAGCCAAAAAGGTGATTACTGGGCAAAAACGCCGAATTTTATCGCATGTAGCTAGTCACTTCGAGCACCTATATATTCGTAATGTAAATTGTTTAATTTTATAAAACAACCAATATAAAACCAATTGACATTATCATATAGAAATTACTATATTATTATCTTTCTTGGCGCAAGCAAAAATGTGTATAAAGTTCGTTATCCAAAAAAGGAAGACATAATCAAATAAAATACAAAAATAATATCAACAATATAAAAGTAAATATTAATAGGTATCTCAAGATGCATTACATTTTTTAATTATATTATTTCAAATTCATATTAGTCTTACTACTATTGGTGGCTCCTAGAAGTCCCCAAAAAGGATGAGAAATTTTTGAAAACTTACACAATAACAAACTAGCAGGCAAAACTATCGTTAATTTACACGAAATAGACATTGGGTAAAACAATAAACTTTTTGTTTTTTAACAAATGAAATTCGGTACATAAGTTGATTACATAAATATGCATTTTTTGATGTATTTTGACGTTTTCTGTCACTCAACTGAGAGACATGGGGTATCATCTTGTCAGTAATAGAAGGCGCTTTACGAATATGCTAATGCCTCACCCTAGTTCCATTTGAAGAAATAGAATACGTCGCCTATCGCCTACTTATTTATGATACTAAATTTCATTTGTTTATATTTAAAAAAAAAGATATAGTCACCCCCTATAAGTACCAGAGGATTTCAAAAATAGCCAGTAGGTTTTTTGCTTTTCGTGTCCTTCTCGGGGTCACAGGAAATGGAAGCCTTATTTTTTGTAGTAGCAGGTCACACAAACAAAAGTAAGTAAACACAAATTCAAAAACTGCTTGCTAGCTCTTAAATTATAATGTTAAATTCAATTATTAATAACACAATAATAATAATAGTAATACAATATTGATATCTTATAATTAAAACATACAGTGCCAGATATCACAAAAAATAAAATAAAAAGAAGTTGCTTTTGGCTAGATCAGAGTACTGAAAATACACTTTTTCAGTGGAATCTTTGAAATATTATTTTCAAATTATTTTTGTTTTCATCATTAGGAGTGTTGAACTTCCCACGATTTTATTTATTTGGACCATAAGCAGCTTTCAAAGTTAACAATAGACTGCAAATCAAAAGTTAGGGAACTGTTGAAATTATTGTATGAGTTATATTTTTCACAAAAATTAATAGACTATTCAGCCTTTTGATTTCAAGCACTAGCACCTATGTTAAGAGAAAATAATTATGTCATTAGGCAAAGAAGCACTTCTTGGCCTAATGACATAAATAACTTTTCCCAAATGGTCACATAGCTATGTATGAACTAAATATTCCAAATGACACTCATGTCAAAAACTTTTATACAAACTGCTGGAAACTTGAACTATTACATATTAACCAAGTTTGAGCTGCAAATATTTCGACAATAAAAAATCTTATCGCGATTTCCAAAAATTGATGGCAATCAATCAATCTAGATAAAGTATTCACTTCATTTGTCCAGCACTAGTAATATTACAAAAATGTACTTTTCATATTTGGGAAGAAGGCGGGTGTTTTATATCACAATAAAAAGAAATAATAAAGAAACAGCTAAGAAAAGTCTAGAACGTGCACAGATCTATCAATTTTCCTAGATCTTTTTAGAAAATTAACGTATTGCCGTGAAAATTTCAACATTTCGTAAGAAAGGATAATTATTACCGAAAAGGTTAGCTTTGTTTCAAAAACAAATTCCCTAACTTTTGATATTAAAAAAAACTTTATCCGAAAAGTGACTTTCTTCTGCGATAACATATTTTTGTAAAATTCGGTATTAACTGCTTGATATAAACAAAATATTCAAGTGGTAAGCAAAGCCACATTGATTTCTTTAACCATCTTTACTCGGTGTAACATTTTTTCAAGTGCTTCTCTTGGCAGTGGCATCGTCGAATACCACACGGGGCTGTCAGGCACACACGATCGTTCTGGTTGAAGATAAAATACGTCGTTTCTTGTTTTCACACTTTCAGGACTATAAGAAAAAAAATACATTGCTGATTGATTGTATATGTTCGACTTTTAGATTTATTAGAGTTTATCAATATTTTAAATACTTTTGTCCAGTATTAAAAGTCGTCTTCGTTACTGCTTTACCTTATGTTCATGTCATAACCAGAGAGCTACCATTTACTAAAAAGAGCCAATAAAAACCATGTGCATCTTTGATATCGGGTCTTCAAAAAAAAAAAAAAAACAAAGATTGCTTTGATTACGAATACGTACATCGCATTATTGTTTCTTTATTGGTCAGGATTTTTGACATGACATTTTGACATTAAAGTTCATTGACAAAATTAAAGAAAAATATTGCCAAGACATACATTTAAAAAACCATAGCAATCTTTGATTGGGTTTTTGTTTGAAGACCCGATATTTTAGGGTAAGACCTTCGGTTGGATTTGCAATGCTGATTTTCACATTAAGTTATTTGAATCAGTAGAGGAGTCTATCTATACTGAGAGCTGGTACTTTTGCTCTTGGTTAACAAATAAGATGAGCCTTTAACCTAATCAGACGAGAGATGTTATTGGAAAGAGTATAGTACGGAGGAAAAATTTTTTAGACAATTTTAAATTCAATTGACATTTTTATTCCTAATTATTGTATATTGTAATTTCTAATTTGTAAGTGATTTGAGACTGACGTTTAAACTCTAACTTATGCATATTGTTTGTTTTGGTAAAACACAAGAAGAGTCTTCACTACTGGAAAACAAACAACAAATTAAATAGTTTTTTTTTCGAACAAATTAATGAATTTCTCATTGAAATTTGAAGTGTATCATTACCCTTGTGTATGTACATTTAGAAACTTTAGAGTTTTAGTGTATAATTTTTAATTTTAATTCCAAATATATAATAAAATGTATACATTACCATTTTGATAAATAAAATTCATAAAGTTTTACAGGACATCTTAGGGGGTTTTCTTCATTTTCCTGTTGCTCATAAACTTTTTTTTTTCGTTGATTGTTTTCTAAAATAGAAAAAAATGTTTTTGCAAGAGAATTTATAGTAATCAACTGAAACTTACGCAAGGCAGATTGCGGCGGATAAAACCTCAACAACACATTTCTAGAACCTGGAACTTTACTGGCACCTGGCTGATTCGGATTTCTCTTCCAATGTTTCATAATATGAGAAAAGGATAGTTGCATGTGTTCATCTACCGACTGGAAAAAAAAAATCTTAAATTTATGTTACTTGAGGTTAAAAAAATATAAGAAACAATTTTTCTAGTTTAGCTAAAGAAAAATTTACTTGTTAACTGTTAGACAACATTAATAATAAATATGTTGGTAAGAGGTTCGACATTCAAATATTGACTGAGGAAGTATGAAAGAGACTAGAAACACTGGACCATAAAGCGGATATAAATAACTAAATAAATGAATCAATAGGTGTTTACTGCAACAAGTTAAACCCAGCTACAGGAAATTTACTTGAAGAGGTATACTGTAATCAGATAGATAGATCCGCAAAAATATCGCAATTGTGAGAGACACCATTGAAAACACTGCATATAAAGTGCATAGGACTCTTATACAACATATTTGTTCTAGCGGTCTGCGTGTGGAAGGTAGGCTGCGATTATGAAAAGGTTGTATAAGAATGGTCGAGATCCCTGATGAGGGGATACAAATCATGCAGTCTGTATGACAGATATTCAAGAAATCTTCCCCGAAAATGCAGCCAGGTTTGCCACACGCGACCTACCGTCCACAAAGCCACCGAAATGGGAATAGCCTATTGTGAACAATTTCGAAGAGCTTGAAAAAGTGACAAAGAAGACACGGGCCTAATTATTGACTACAAAAGAATCGCCATTTTTGTGTACAGGAATAATTTCAGCAACTTGCATGTCAATGAGAAACAACTAGTTGATAGAATTAAAGTAAATAGAGTTGAAGAGGGTCAGCCAGAATATCTATGTACTCCTTCTCACCATAAATCTTGGAATACAGTCGGTTCCCGACGTGAGTTGATTTCTAGGCTTCTTGCTCGCGGTGATAATATCCGCAGCTCTTATGTGACACATAGCAAAGATCTCCAGATACTGGTTTTGAAGATTAGTATCAGGTATAGTTGGATTTGATTTAGTGTAAACACTTTGGCAAAACCTATCGAAAGCACTGATAATATCTTGTGCTGTAGAGTACTGACCATCCAAATCCCTAAAAATACCAGAAATCCCAGACCTGCCCCTCTTGTCCGGCACAAAAGACCAAAAATTCTTGGGATTATCCTTTATGCACTGCTCAGTGTTCCCAATATGCACCAAATAAGCTGCATGAATTTGCGACCTCACTCTTAAACTTTGAACCTAATGTAATCTACTACGTCGCTTTATTTCAACTGGCACACATGAATCAATTATGTTATTAAGAACACCATACAAGGCATCGCATGCATAATTCACATTTGTAGAATTGTACACATCAGACCAATCAGCGTTCAACTCATACATCAGGTGAAAGTTTGCATTTGTAAAATTATACTCCTTTGGCGGATTACTGTTTATTTGAAAGTCGGATAAATGAACACATAGTGATGTGAAATCGATACTGAGAGAAGAGTGAAATTCATTCTGCGCAATAAGAGGAGTATAATTTTTTAAGACAGTGCAAACGAAGTTTCACAGAACTATGTCTATTACGCGATTATTGACATTTGGAACTGCATGCTGCTGAACGAGGCTTAACATAGCAAGGTAATTCCTCAATATAAAACATTTTTTGTCTGAAATGGCATAACTTGCTTCTACACAATCACCAAAAATTAAAACATTCCTGCCTTGTAAAACCTTCAGCAAAGAAAGAATCAAGAAACAATTGCAGTTTAATACAGGATACCTGAGAAGAAACATACATTACGAAAACAAACAGAACAAAAAAAAAGTATGGTGATCTCACAGCAATTAATATCAATAAGTGAAACAATGTTGTCGAGAGTGGGAAGGTCAACCAGCTCTGACACGTCATAATGATTGGCAACTCCCACCAGCACAGCCCCCGGAAACATTCAGGATTTCCAGATTACGATCAGAACGATAAATGGTGAATGACGGCGAAAACATCTCTGCAATGGGAACGTCTGACTTCATCCAAGTCTCATTTATGATAGCCATCAGGTCCATACCCGTGGCGGCAACTGACAAGTAGAAATCACAAGTGGGGCTATTTAGTCCTGAAATATCCCAGTCTTTGTGTTGCCATTGGAAACACTTGTTAGTTTTCCAAATGGTCAACTTTAACAACTGTAGGTACACCTTTTACGAACTTTGTTCTCTCTTGAAATTCTTTGCCCCTGCCTGTCTATGTACGAGCAGTTTCTGCCTAACGGTTTTGCATTCCATGTGTTGTTTGGGAGTTTTATTAGATATAATAGTGAGATGCTGAGCGTGTTGCTCTGATTTGGGTGTACAACGAAGAATTTCGGAGAAGGCATTATCGTCAATAAGCACAACCCCTATGGATCTTGGTCTTACGGCGTTTGCTGGAGATAATAATTTAGCCAATCTAACAACCTTGACGATATTGAAAGTAATGACATTTCAGTAAATATAACTCGGTATTTCATTGACTGATTCACTGTCCACTTGCTGCATGGTTGTGGAGTTTTCAGGTTCTGGCCGCCAAGACAATTTAACGTATACACGCTACAAGGGGCGATATGTAGGACACATATTTGTTCTAGTAAACTGTGAAGCCATCTTTCAAGTAAATAACAAAGTAAAATGTACACTAATTCTAAGACAAAGATCACAGGCACAGGCGTCACTTACAAACCAAAATCTTAATCTAAATAATAAATAAAAAATACTTACTGTTAAATTAAAGTGTTTTGTATTGAAGAACATTAATGTGCTTAAGAGAACATGTGGAGAATGAGCTCCTAGTTGCTTACTCTCCCATAGATGTTCCTCTTCCACTCTAGTAACAATATAATGTGAATCATTATATAAAACGGAGAATTTCTTAGCTACTTCGTCCAAACAGTCAGTGAATTTTTCATAATACGGATCACAAAATATATTATCAATTCTACCATTCTCAAATAGATATTGTTGTATGCCCAAACACAAGTAATATATTGTATCGGGGGCATATTCTTGACCGTTGGGTTTTCGAACTTCTTTGACAAACAAACAAAGGGAATAGTTTAATTCGTCTGCGGTTAACTGAAGAATTTCGGTTTTAAAAAGTTTCACTCGTCTAGTAGATTTTTCCAATTCTGCATTTTTTGTTGTAACCCACTGCTTCCAAGCATTTACACCAAAAGTATACTGTAACAAAATGTTGTATTTAATGGACAGCAGTTGAAGAGAGGATAATTATTATTCTTATCAGTTTAAAAGTATGATTCTTGAGTACATATGAATATACGATCTGACAGGTTCAGGACGGTTCTGAGACATGAGTGATGTAACATAAATCAGAAATACAAAAATGATTTATTAATTTTGAAAACAAATATGGTAAAAATAATAAAAATCACATCGCTTCTATACTTAAACTTGTATCATAAGATACTACTTACCTTAAGACACATATTAGCATCTGGTTTTTCTTGGGGTTCTGGAGGTGGTGGAGGTTGAACCGGTTGCATCAGAGGTATGTCAACTTGGTGATGAGACATTCTTCTGCCCCGTTTTGGAGCACCGCGAGGAGCTCCTCTCACTCCTCGTTTCCTTCCCCGCGATGCAGATTTTTCGACCATATTATGAGCAAGGATAGGCTGAGGGTCATCCACGTTCTCTTCTTGAGGATGTGGTTCTACTGGATGGGCACCTTGTGGAGCTGTAATAGTACTGGCAGTAAGTGCTCCTTCAAGGTCCACAGCAGGTTCATCGAGTTCTGGAAGAGAAAATGGTAAATTGAGATTGAGAACTAGGAATTGCTTTCTTATATAAAAATATTATTTTTTGGTATAACAAGTACTGACTTTATGTTGTAGGCCTAAAGCAGATTTGGAAGAAGCAAGCAAAGAGCAAAAATTAACAAACTTTTGACATCTATTTCCTCAATTATGCCATAAATTAATGCTTCCCGTACTTCTTCTCTCAAACTTTCCCCAACTTTCTTAACTTTTCAGATCTCTTTAAACTTCCTAGTTGTTTAGTTATGAACGGTGGAATAGAGACATGAATTTGAAAAACCATTGAGGTTGAATTCAGGATTAAATACTTATACCTTGTCACTTTCTCAAATCTGCCCTTATTTTTGGGTGGAGGTAAAAACTTTTCAGATAAGTCCCCCTTTTCCACCAGTGTATCTGACAGTAAATTACGGCCAGATAAATGGAAATTTAGGTAATGAGGGATATGTTAAACAATATGTTACAGAGGGATACATGTGTGATAAAATTACTTTTGCAAATTTAAAATTTACTGTAAGGTTTACTTATAAGGGATTCAAATTATACATATAATACACACAACAAAAAAAGTTTTGCACCGTCCTGTAATGTAACTACAGAATACCTAGCGACAAATAAAAATATTGTTATCTTCAGCTATGGAATATGTCCAGTACATTTACCAAAAAAGGTTAAGGAATGTGAAATTGTCTACTATTCTTTTATTGAAAACTTTTTAATTTAGATATCGCTGAATATATGAAATGAGATGGTGCAAAACTTTTTTTGTTGTGTATATATTACATTCTGAGAATTTGAGAGGAAAATTTGTCAATTTATCAAATGTAGATATCAATACTGGAGAGACATGTTTAATAGTCAAGTTTAGAATTTCCACAATATATGTAACTAATCTAGCAAATTGCAAATAGAGATATATGTCTGGCAGACGCATACAGTCGAATATAAGCAAAACTAGTGCAATTTGGTAAATGCACCATAGAAAATATTTATTTGGACAACTCAATATCAAAGAGGTTAGACCACAACAAATTATTGCACATTAAATACTCTGGTATGTACAGTGAGAATCATTGCAATTGGCACACACCTGATAAACATCCCCCGTAATGCGTCAAAATTTGACTTCCTTGACACACAGGTAATGTCAAAATCGTGTCAAATTTATAAATCAGTGGTGAACATAATGATTTTGATAAATTTTTAAAGGAAGAAAATATTTGGGCTTAGCAATTTAATGTTAACTTTAATTCATGATTTTGTGTTAAGATTGGTTCTTGATTTCTATGTTGATTTGGTATGTTACATGTTACGCTTTTGCAGGGTGATGTACTGTTATATTGTTGATTAGAATGATAAAAATATTACGTACACCGCTGCACTGAATAGATTTATTGGTTAGAATTTTGACTTAATACGAGGGACGTTGAGAGAGTATGTGCCAATTGCAATGATTCCCACTGTACATCGAGTTTTATCAAACGAATTAGATTTAACTAGAGTAAAAAACGGCAATTTTTCATGAAATAGAGATACCACAATATGAGAGGTATTGAAAATAACACAAACTAAAAAATTCAATTTCAACATAATGGATCCTTACCAGTAGCCATCTTCAAAGCCATCTGAAGCATGTCATCACCAAATGTATTATTAGCATCAACCGGTTCAGGACTATAATCACCAGCATCTCCTGTATCCTCATCAATATCGCTTTCCGAATCTGTGTGATCTTCTTTTTTTTCTCCTGCTACCATTTCAGCCATCATTAAAAGCTCTGCTTCATAAGGATCTGTTGGGATCTTGACTTGAATTTTCTACAAAGAAAATATTTCCGTTGGTCAAAACTTTTATATGGATAATCCTCTATGATAAGAGTGACAGCAAATGTTTAGTTAGGCAAAATCCTAAAACTTCCTCGATCAAAGTAAATTTCTAGCTAAAAATACTTGGATATATTCATCACTGAAGGTCTAGCATATTGCCGCAATTGTTGAAAAAAATCGAATTGTGATTATCGCCGAAACACGTCAACAAATTTATTGAGGGGGTTTTACGTGAAGAACATTCCCCCCAACAAATTTGTTGACGTGTCTCTTTACGCAGATAGTGTGAAAGGCAAGTTTTGGAATAGATGCCATGTATAAATTGAAGCCTCAATTCCAAACACATCAGTTTCAACCTAATGAACAAAAATGCATGTATTTATTTAGGTTGCCCTTACAAACACAATCGGAAAGCTATTTATAATTATGATTATAATTAAAATAGTAATATATTATAATTGACGCAGAGGAGGATGTGGCTAGGTCCACCGCTGCACAGTTCCAAAGTGTCTATGTGCAATGTCTCAGCACTGATACTTCACCTGCACTGCCACAGAACACCTACTCATAGATAGAAATATCAGAAATAACATTTACCCCTGGAAAAGTGATGGCTGCCGTGGGGTTTCTCAAGACCGATACTAGCCCTGGACCGGATCGAATTCCAGCAGTATTTTTGTCACGGTGTAAAGAGACACTATAGTAGTAGTAGTAGTAGTAGTAGTAAATATGCTTTATTGTCCAAGAATACAAAAATCTTATTGACAAAGCTAACCCAACTTAAATTAAATTTTACAACTAAACCTAGAAGCCAGCAAGTCAACAATATCAATCAAATTAAAATTACCGTAGGCAATAATTTACAAAAATAATAAATACATTCATTTAACACAACATTTCTTGACATAGGTTTCAAAGACTAGTGGACACAACAACAACAAAAAAAAAAAAACCTTTATTTAGTAGGTATGTCAGTCAAATTAAGATAAATAAATAAATAGGTAAAATATAAAACAATACAGAAATACACAATTGAAAAAATACACAATATGCTACGCTAGTGCTACACACAGACAGAGATAAAAAAACAATATGTATGTCATAAATAACAAAAAATATATAAACAATAAAAAGTCCACAAAAGGTTGAATTTAAAATTGAGTAACTGTTGACGGAATAAGAGACAACTAATGGTTAAAAGGATAATTAAAATACTCATCGAGCGAATAGAAAGCTGGCTTCACCAGTGCTCCCTTTAAGGTTTTGCGAAACTTTGAGATATTTGATATGGTTTTGAAATTTAAAGGTAGCTGATTATAGATCTTTATGCTATTATAAATTATTGAATTTTGCACCAAAGCCGAATGGGGCATCGGAAGAGGAATGTCATGCCTTTGACGAGTTAAGCAAGTTGTCTGATGAACAGGAAACATGGCAATGTTTTTGTGTATTAAACTCGCGGTCTCTAATATAAAAAGACAGGGTAATGTTAAAATTTCATATTTGATGAAAAGCGGTCTACAGTGATCTCTAGGAGAAGCACCCGCAATGTAACGTATTGCACGTTTATGTAGTTTAAAAACAGATTGAAACAAAAACTGACTACAACAACCCCAAAATGGCAAACCGTAGGAAAGATGGGATTGTACAAGTGAAAAGTAAACCACCTTAGCAATTGAGACACCTAAGTTAGCTGCCACTGCTCGTACACAATAGCAACCAGATGCAAGTCTTCTGTTCAATTTAATTATGTGACCCTGGAATTTGAGGTCGGCGTCCAGCTGTAGCCCAAGAAATTTTGTGCTCTCAGAACTTCTGATCGAAAAGTGCCCGCAATCTATTTCATTGACATTAAACCGGAATCCAAGTACTTCTGTTTTTTTAAAGTTGAATAAGAGTTTATTCGCATCACACCAATTCCTAACAACAACAATTTCGCGTGAAATTGTCCGAACCAGATCATCAGGGTCCTCCTTGTGCCATACCACAGTAGCATCATCCGCGAAAGCAGCGAACATTCCAGTTATATCGAGGTGAAATAGATCGTTGATGTACAACAGAAATAGGATTGGTCCCAGTACAGATCCTTGAGGAACTCCGTGTTTGATAGAGTGATCCGAAGAGTACTTACAATTTGCTGAGACGCACTGGCTTCGGGAGGAGAGATAAGATTCGAACCACCTCAAAACCACACCCCTGAATCCATAGACCTCAAGCTTCCGCAGCAGTGCACGCAGTCGAAAGCCTTCGAGAAGTCGCAGAACACCGCCGCAGCAGCCCGGCCATTGTTGTAGTGTGTAAAAAGCTGTTCCAAAACACGAAGCATGGCATCATGGGCATTTTTGCTGGGAAGAAAACCAAATTGAGAAGAACTAAAGACGGAATGTTTAGAGAGAAAATCCAGCATGCGCCTTTTAACTAGTTTTTCTATGACTTTCGATATAGTTGAAAGTAAAGATATAGGACGATAATTTGAGGGGTTTTTTGTATCGCCACTTTTATGTAATGGTATAACCAGAGCTCTTTTAAGGCTAGAAGGAAACGTTCCGTTAGAGAATGATTCGTTTATAGCCGCTGCTAAAACACTTATTGAAAAAATATTACCCTAAAAAATTAACATGTAAGCCCTGGGTAACGCCAGAACTAATCAATGAAGGACAGCACCTTCGGGATATGTACAAACAGTATAAATTTTCAAACAATTTAAATATTTTAAATCGCTATAAAATACTAAAAAAATACCACGAATCTAAATTGAAATTATCTAAACAAAGATATCACAGTGATTTATTCTCAAGGTCAAACAATATGTCAAAAACAGCTTGGAGTATAATAAAGTATGAAAGTTGCTCTTCGGGGCGTCAAAATCAACCTAAATACTTTGTGGACGAGGAAGGTCATGAATTTTCTGACTTACAGGAAGCAGCTGATAATTTCAATAATTTTTTCATCAACTCTGTAGACAAAATAAAACGTTCCGCAAACCCAAATAAACAAAATCAATCCAATAATAGAATAATATCAAATTCGCTTTTTTTAGAGTATTTTCAGGTGCACGAAATGCACCAAATTATTTTATCAGTTAGCAAAAAAAACTCGGCCGGTGAAGATGGAATTCCTTGCTCACTCATAAAACACGTCGTCGACTACCTAGCACCGCCATTGACATATCTAGTTAACCTATCATTTCAAGTAGGCTCTTTTCCAAGCTCTCTGAAAAAATCTATTGTTGTCCCGATTTACAAGAAGGGGGACAAAACCTTGATGTCAAACTACCGTGGGATATCGCTCCTATCTATTTTTTCCAAAATTTTTGAAAAATGTTTTTATAAAAGATTAGAATCGTTTTTACAGAAAGAAAAATTCTTTAGTGAGCATCAGTTCCGTTTTAGAAAAAATCGTTCAACGCAGGATGCTATTTTAGCTTTATATACTCATGTTCTTTCCAATTTTGAGCAAAACAACAAGTCCTTGTGCCTCTTTTTTGATTTGAAAAGGGCCTTCGATGTAATAGATATTAACTTGATGCTTGACGTATTTTACAAATGCGGTATGCGCGGTGTCTCCTACAATTCGATAAAATCGTACCTCACTGATAGGGAACAAAAAACTAATTTGAAAAATGAAAATGCCTCTGTTAACTCAAGTTATCTATCAATAACTAGTGGGGTACCGCAAGGTAGCATCTTGGGTCCCTTATTATTTATAATTTTTTTTGACAGTATAATGCAGCAATTTCCGTATCATTGCGTGGGTGCATACGCGGACGATGCAAGTGTTACCACATCGTTCGGGGATCTTGAGATACTGTCCAAAATGTCAACTAGTGCCGTGAATAGAATGATTCATTTTTGTCGTAATAATGGTCTTGTTTTAAATCAATCAAAGACCGAAATGATGTTATTTTCACTTACGGATCTAAATAAAAGCTTACTGGTTAGAATGCATAACAGTACAATAACACAGAATAGGGTCACCAAATATCTGGGCATTATTCTTGATGATCTTTTTAGTTGGTCAAATCAGGTTGATGCGGTTTTGAAAAAACTCTCTGTATACATTTATGTACTCTGGCAATTGCGTGAAAGAGTTGATATGTCGCTTTTATTGCTGTATTATTATGGCTATGTATACTCATGCCTATCATATGGTATTATGTGTTGGGGAAACTGCACCAGGGCTGACGAGGTCTTTAGAGCTCAAAAAAGGGCAGTAAGAACAATATGCTCCAAACCATACACTTATTCGTGCAAGCAATTATTCCCTGAACTAGGAATACTAACATTTCCTTCATTATTTATATTTACATCCATTATGCATCTTAAAAAAAACATTTCCAACTATTCTATTTCTAAGGGCGCTACTCAATATGAATTGAGAACAAATTTGAACTTGGAGGTCCCCATACACAAGCTGTCAAAAGTAGCCAATAGTCCTATAGTATTACCAATTAAATTTTACAACAAGCTACCCACTGAAGTAAAAAAGATTCAAAAATTGACTCGCTTCAAACATATTCTAAAGGAAAATCTTACAAAAAACACATTTTACTCTGTTGACCAATTTATCAATTGCAGCGTCTCTGACCTTCTACCCAAATAAATAAAAAACTAGAAAGAATTTTTAAATGTACCTATGTTGTTTGTGTGATAACTTGTGATTTTGTTTTTACCATGTTTCTGCCATTTTTTATTGAAACTTTTATACTTATATTTTAATCTATTTTTAAACAATTTTTTTTTTTTGACATCATCCTATACTTGTATTCAAAAGTCTATGGAAATAAATAATTTGTAATTTGTAATTTGTATTGCCCGACCTGGAAGTTCCTTGAGTATCTTCGTGGATATTCCGTCCGAGCCAGATGCATTCTGGTTTTTGATGGATTTAAGGACACTTCCGATTTCATGAACATCGGTTGGCTGGAAGAAAAATGATTCAGGGACATGAAGATTATTTAGATAACTTAAAGGATCTGCGTCAGACTGTATGGTGTTGGTTAATGTTTCTGCAACTGTGCAGTAGAATATGTTCAAGTCATCCGGCTCAATATCAAATTGCTGCTGGATAGCACCCGATTTTCCTGTGACTTCACGGACCATTTGCCATGTCTGTTTTGATTTATTTGTAGCATTTTCCAGTTGGTGTGAGTAAAAACTCTGTTTTGCTGCTTTAATTAGCTTCCTATAAATCTTGCGATACTCATTGTAATAATTGGATATAAACGGGTTATTGAAATTCTTTCTAATATAGTTAAGTGATCTTAAATTGTTTGCCGAAATTTTTAAGCCCTTGGACATCCAATATTTTTTGTTAGTTTTTCTTTTTAAAGGGCGTAGAGGAAAAGCTTTGTTAACCAAGGAACTAACCATTCGGTGAAACTCATTTAGCGGGTCCTCCTTGACAAGAATGTTCTCCCATTCAGAAAGACCGCACGCATGCTTGAAAAAAGAGAAATTTTTTTTACTAAATATTCTACCAGGTTTATTATAATGGTGGTGGTTACGGTTTATATTTAAGGGTAGATTTGCTAGTACTGCATTATGATCAGAAAGAGCAGGATCAATTACATCACAGGTTACGTTTGCACCAAGATTTGAACACACATAATCAATGATGGTGAAAGTTGAATTTGTGATTCTGGTTGGTTTATTGACATGCATTTCAAGATTGAACGATTCAAGAAGATTGAGTAATAGAATGGCGGAATTCGCTTGCGGGTTACCAAAATCAATGTTTAGATCACCAGCAACAACGAGATCGCACCCACTCGGAAGATCTGAGAGAAGTATTTCGAAGTTTTCCAGGAAGCGTGCAATGCTAGAAGAGTCAGGAGAGCGGTAGATGCAAAGAATGTACAAGTTCAATGACCGTGAATGAAGTAAAGAAAATTCAAAGATCCTTTCAGAAACCAAGAAATCAAATTTATCACAGCTGCAGAAATCAGTTTCCAATAATAGTTCTGTGTTAAGGAGTATACTAGTTCCTCCGTGCGAGAACTCAGATCGACAGAATTGGGACACAACTTGATAGTTCGGAACAAAGAATGGCTCGCCATTTTTAAGCCAATGTTCCGTAAGTAAAACTAAATGAGGAAAATTTTGACTTTCAAGGAATATGAATAGTTCGTCGGATTTATTTCTTGCTGATTGGATGTTCTGCAATAATAAAGTTAATGATTTAATTTTCTTGGTGAAGGATGTTTTGTTTGTGACAATTTTGTCCCTAAAAAAGTCGAGGAATGTGAGACATTTGGGTTGAAACTGCTATTGCTATTTGTAATACAACTATGGTTTAGTTCCTCAAACAGACTGACCGACTGGCGAAAAGCTGGAGATGTATCAATATTTATGGTTCTAGAAAAAGCTTGAGGAGATCTATTTATCGGCGAGCCCACTGCATGATTTGCGGATTCATTGTTTACCTTTGTTATTTTCAGGCTATCACACAATTCATTTTGCGAAAAGTTTAAATGCATGTATTCGGCTATCATCTTACCTATCAACCAGTTACTCACTTTGTAGCCCCTGTCTGTGTTAATATCAATATAATCGTAAAGGTTATCAGACTGTTTTGAGAATGCGCTTAAAATTTTTCTTAGATTATTATTAAAAAGAGAAATGTAATTGACATTATTGTGTTTGCGCAAAATTGGGCTGGCTAAAACTATAAAATTAGTGTGCGAACATTCTTTTAGAACTTCATGTATTTTGCCAAATTTTGGTCGTCTATTATTATAAAAATCATTTGAGCCCGCGATGACGACAACATAATCATTTTTAATGTAGTCCCTAGTTAAGGATTTCAACCCGTGAAGTACGCCATCGTAATGAGCTCCAGGTTTCACTATTGATTCAATAAAGATGTTTTCCGAGTCAATATGCCTTTCGATGTTTCTGCCTAATTTTTTCCCGTGTTCATCCGAAATAATTAATATTCGGGTTGATATTCCTACTTTAAGTTTTCTTGATTGGGGCTGTGATTGTGATTGCGTATGTTTATTCTCATGTATTGTTTGAGTACCTCTTGAAGTTTGATCTGGATTAACAGGTGCATTAGAATTTTTTACAAGTTTCTCGATTTCCCTATGCAGTTCCTTTATAACAGCCTGGTTTTCGTTGTCCTGTCCAATAAGTATGTTTATTCGAGAGAGCGTCCTTTGATTGCTTTGATATACAGGCCATTATTAGAAGCAATGAATGACATCTTTCATGCTGGACACTTTTCTGAGATCTGGAAGAAGGCTATTGTTGTTCCCATATTCAAGGAGGGTAATAAACAGCTACCTGAAAACTAGAGGCCAATCAGCTTAGCCACTACCATCTGCAAATACATCAAGAAAATACTAGTAGGTGAGCTAACCACTTTTTTCCTGGACAACCATACCATGACATATCCCTATCAACCTGCTCATCTACAAACTCCAGCGTTATGGTGTGGAGGATCGCTTGGAGCAATTCAATGACCTCCAGGATGACTTCGGAACCATCAAGAGCTGGACGGACCTCTTGAAGATGCCTCTCAACAATACAAAGTGTACCATTCATCAAATAGACCGAGAAAACCCAAGACTTACATAAGTCCTTGATCAAACAGAGGTAACCAAAGTTAAAAGCAAGAAAGACTAGGTGTGAATATACCACAAGATTTGAAATGGGAGCAGCACCTATGCCAGATAATCAAAAAGGCAAATACACTAATCTACATTTGGAGCCCTTACTACATCAAGGACATAGAAATCCTTGAAGACATGCAAAGGATAATGACCAAAATCCCCCCAGCGCTCCGAGACCTGCCATACGAAACCAGGCTAACAGGCTGAATTTGACTACACTTAGAGAGAACGCTGAGAGGTATAGTTTATCTATTCTAAATTGAACCACTTTATTTTCAAGCTATTTATAAGGTACGAACAAATATTAGGCACCTTAGGCGTGAATAAATACTCAAAAAACCTATATAAATGTTTTGCATATACCCTACTAGAAACTACAATCGGCAAAATGAAATACTGGTTGTCAGAACGAAATTTCGAAAAGATTTCTTCATGTTTATTTGCCTGGGCGATGCGTCGCCGGTGTACTTTCACAGTAGTTTGTTTTTTTTGTCAGAGGCGGAGGCAGGTTTATACGTGTGTATATTTTTATGAAATAATTGTTTAAATTTTTTAAAAAATATCTCCTAAACGGCACTAGGGCATGTATATTCCAAAATATCTCAAATAAATAATAAATATAAATTAAATTTTACTTAGAATAATATCTAAATTATATTGATTTATTATTTATTATGAAACATTTTTGGAAACCTCGCCGCCTATGCTTCATAAAGAAAATGCTGACTGTTAATGGAGATTTATTTTTTGTGGTGGTTCAATTGAGAATAGATAAACTATAACCCTATTGAAACATTCAAAATCACAAGCGGCCACTACAAACTACAAGTGTAACCTGGATATGATTCAGCATGGACAAGCAAAAAACCTCAGAGGTCACAACAAAAAACTTCATATAAGTTACTGCAAAGAAATTTTCTGATCAACAGGATTCTGTATACCTGGACTAGGTTAGAGGAAAGCACTGTCGTAAATGCGACCTTATTGAACCAGTTTAGGAACAGACTAGATATCGAAATGCAACAATGGTCAAACCTTCTTGTGCATTATATGTGATACCCCTCTGATTGTTAGAATTAAAGCAAATTCCTGGTATTTGGTTCAAAGGAATAACCGTGCATTTCAAATTTTGAGTAGTTTTCATTTACTTAGTTTAATAATGTTTTTGAAGTTGAAACTTACTTTAATTTCCTTCATAATACCCGCAGCACTGTTTCTTGTAGTTGGTATGAAAATTGGAATAGGTACTGGTAAGGGAAAAGGTACAGGAAATGGTACTGGAGTTGAATACATGTGACATGGCGCAGGAACGTAAATGGGTACAGGGACGGGTAACAACATTTTATTTATGTCATCTATTTGGGTTTGTACACTTGCATCTTTCATTACTGGAGTTGTTTGTACCGCTAAAATTATTATTTTGAACATTATTATTTTGCTTAAATTCAAATTAAAAAAATCCTTACATTTAACAGCTTTCCTAGGTTGACACATCACAGCAACATTTCTCTGTTCCGGATTAGATTTTGTTTTCACAATATAATGTTGCTTCACTTGTACTTGAACTGGTAAATCAATACTTTGTACGGTTGCAGTCGCTATAGACGAAGAAGTAGCTGTAGACGAAGATGTAGCTGTAGATGAAGATGTAGCCGCTTTTGATCTAGTGATTCTGGTTGATGATCTCGGTTTAATAGGGGTATGGAGTTGAGGCGGAGTAATCGGTCCATTTGTGCTGGCCAAACTTTGAACGTTTGATATAACAGGAAGTTTAGTTATGCTATCAGTCAAACCTAAAATTAGTATGTATTTTGAGAATAAAAATAATATGGCTTAAACTATTCAAGTACATTTTTTATTATAGAGAAATCTTCCTGCTCTGATTATAATTATTTTTAGAGGGTCGATAGGTCTTACTTAGATAGCTTTTTTAGAATTAAAATTCTAATGTCTTCCGCATGAACTTATAAAAGTATTTAAATTTAAAAAAAAAATCATAACAAATTAAATTAAATATATTGCAACCTGTAGGTAATTATTTCGCAACAATCCCATTATTCTAGAATAGTTTCACAAGAAGTTAAAACAAATTCAAAGCCAAACTGTACTCTTTTGTATCAATGTAACACTCAATAAGTAAAATAAAACTTTTCACAAATAATAGTTTGGTTAATCCTCCTCAAGCAAAAAAATGACAACTCCATGTGACCAGTCTTGTAACTTTCACTGAAAGATCACGTGAGCTTCTGCCAACAATGTCATCTTATAGCTCGTAGAGGATTAACTGAACTCGCCTACAGTTCGGACACTTACCATCGTCAGAAGTAGATAGTTTTTTACTTTTTCTAGCAGTCTCTTTTCCTTTTTTGTTTGAAACTTTTTTTGTTCCCTGATTTTGGAAAGCCAAAACACATCCATAAGAGCAAAAATTTAATAGGCTTGCATCTGACATGGTTAAATAATATGGTGGACCTCCTTCTTTTTTACACAAAGTACATGGACTTGGTATTGCATCCCTAGCTTTTAAAGATATTTTATACATATGGAGGCAGTTAAGACTGCACACATTAATTACAGGCTCAGTTTTAGAATATTTTTTTATCATATCAAAATTGTACTTCTTCACTTTGCACCAGAGACAAGGGACAATTTTTCTATTTGCAATTATATAAATGTTTTCACAGCTGTTGGAGCAAAAACTGTATTGAACATTATCATAATACATTGTGTGTTTTTCTAGAACAGACTTACTAAAATGCCTTTTGCACATAACACATTTTTCAGGTGATATTTTATTGACAAATGTAAATGCAACAAAACAGGGTTCCCCGCAAAAGTAGTTTGAACGTTCATCATATTCAAATTCCTTTGATATTTTTTCTACACTACAAACTGAACATTTTGTTCCAGGTTCAACTTTAGGAGGCTTGTCATTAGTCATTATGTCATATTTTTCCATGCAAATCTTGGAACAAAAATCTTTAAACTGTCCTTTCTCACCAACAGGGGCCAAAAACCCATTTGGGTTCTGTGACATATCTTGCTGACAGTATGAACAGACTTTAAGACCTTTTTTGTACTGTTCAAGACAATGACTAGAGCAAAACTGACGAATATCATTTCCAAACCTCACACAATATTTTCCAAGAGACGTAGGTTTCACATCTACTTGACAAATGACACACGTTGAACCTATGACTTTTTGATGTTTTGATAGGCAAACTTCATTACAAAAATCCATTATTTCCCAATTTAAATTATTTTCAATATCATCTGTTTTTTTTCCGCAGCAGAAACATTTCCTTATAAAAACCAAAGGGGGGATCTCACTTATAGAGGCTTCCCTGAAATTGTTACCTCCTAATTCCACTCTGTCATCTGGGAGCATAGTGATCTTTTTCGTAGTCTTAGTTTTTTTGAATGAAGCTAAGCATGTGGCATCACAAATATAAATGGCTGTGTGATCTTCATTTGAAAGGTGATATTGGGGTACTTTTTTCTGAAACAAGAATTAAGTTATTTATAAATAAATAACGGGTGTTCAATAACTATTACGTTCGTAGTTGGCCGAGGTTCTCTTTTTCTATCATGAACGTAGGTCTGTTGATAGGTTCGTATGCTTTGATGGCAACTGTCACTAAATGTCAGTCTAATTCTTGAATTTATTACTTTTCAATACAAATTATGCTCGAAATTATGTTAATTAGACAAAAACCACTGCAAATCGTGATAACAACAAGAAAATGTACTTAATAAGCGTTATCTCAGTGGAACCTGTGGACTGAATGTGGCTAGCCTCTAATCTTTCTGACAGCTATCACCAGGACTGACATGTAATAATTTTTGCAATGTTAGCCCAAACATACGTTTTTTTTTGTGACAATTACCATCCATAGGCGACCTAAGCATAACAATTTATTGAATACCCGTAATACATCTCAAATAATCTATTTGGGCAATACATAAAGTACAATTATGTTAACAAACACTATTACACACACTATTAGCAGCCATTTTCCAGCAGCCAAAACTTTGAACTTGCCAGCTATTTCCAGCAGCCAATCTTCGAGAGCCGCTTTTAAGTTGTGTAAGTCACCAGAAGCCCGATCCTCGGGTCAGGGAGAAGAGCTTCCCGATAGAACGAATGTCTTGTCTTTGTCAACGTAATCGAAAAGTAAATGAGAATGATAAAGACGAAAAATTTGTTCTCTCGAGGAGCTCTACTCCCTGGCTCGAGGATCGGCCCACAGATGAATATAGCGATGTAACATTCTACCTATATATACCTGTCAAGCTGGCATGACAATTTCTTGCTAATTATTCACCATATTTTTATTATTATTTTTTTTTTGTACCCAAAAATTATGAGAAAATAGCAACAGTACCAACTTGATATCAAGCTAGCATGAAAACCATTTAAATATTTTTAAAAACAAAAATTTTCTAGTGGACTATTTGTTGCTAATTAATTGCCATATTTTAAATTTTTTTGCTTTTGCCGATTTCCAGGAACTACCGACAGTGCCAACTTGACATTAAGCTAGCATGACAACAGTTCAAATATTTTTAGAAACGAAAAAATTATAGTGGATTATTTGTTGCTAATTAGTTATCATATACTTATGTGGTTTTTTTTCTTTCGCCGATTTCGAGAATAGCGACTTTGCAAACTTGATGTCATGCTAGCACAAAAACCGTTAAAATTGGTGAAAAAAAATATTGTTGCTAATTAGTTACCATAATGTTAGGGGCGTAAGAACAAAAGCGGAGAATTTCTTAATGGGTGTGTTGAGTGAGAAGTACGACATAATTGCCTTCACGGAAACATGGTTAAATGATAAATTCCATAACATGGAATTTGTTGTTCACAAGCATGTATGGTCAGAAATGATAGGAACACAAGAGGTGATAGGAGGACAGGAGGCGGTGTCCTCCTTGCCATCAAAAGGTTGATTCCTTTCAGTAAGTCAATATAAACAGCACCTATGAATGGATAATATCGAGGGTAAAATAAAGTTAAAAAACAAAAACGAATTTTTATGCTTGCATGGTCTATTTTCCGCCTAATGCAGATCCAGAGAAAGAAACTTTTTTCTACAGATTTTAATGATATGGTACAAAAAAGCTGTCAAAGATATGCTGCTAAAACAGAATTTTGAATGTCTATCAACTTAGCGAGACAACTTCGAAAAATCGATTTTCCATTTTGCCAAGAATATGCCGCTTTTTTGCCGCTAATTAAATGTGGAATTAAAAAATTTGCCGCTCTTTTGTTTTTTTCTTAATTACGTGTTTTGCTAACTTGACGTCAAGATAGCGAGACAACATCACTAAATACGTCAGCAGTAAAAAAATAGGTAGGTGAAAATTTGCCGTTTTTTTGCCGCTAATTAGTTGTGAAAACCAAAAAATTGCCGGTTCTTTTTTTTTCATAAAAAATCAAGTTTGGAAAAAAAAATCATTTGTTTCGCTAACTTGACGTCAAGTTAGCGAGACATTATCACTAAAAATGTCGGTAGTGAAAAATTGAGTGAATGGAAATTTGCCGTTTTTTTGCCGCTAATTAGTTGTGAGAACCAAAAATTTGCCGCTTCTTTTTTTTACAAAAAATCAAGTTTGAAAAAAAAATCATGTGTTTCGCTAACTTGACGTCAAGTTAGCGAGACAATATCACTAAAAATGTCGGTAGTGATAAGTTGAGTGAATGGCAATTTGCCGTTTTTTTGCCGCTAATTAGATGTGAAAACTAAAAATTTGCCGCTACCTTTATTTTCATAAGAAAATCGAAATCGAATCGAAAATAAAATACCTAGTGTTTTGCTAATTTAACGTAAAGTTAGCGAGATCACTAAAAATGTCGGTAGTGATAAATTGAGTGAGTGGAAATTTGCCGCTAATTAGCTCTTTTTCTATAAGAAAATATCGCGTTTGAAAAAATATCATGTATTTCGCTAACTTGACATCAAGTTAGCAAAACAGTATCAATAAAAATGTCGGTAGAAAATTTCATCCATCTGTCAAAACTGGTATTCGAACCATAAACTGGGCTACTATGTCATTTGCGCGACAGTCGTTTGTGCGAGGAAGAAAAGCGCGATACTAAAAGCGCGAGGGACAAAAGCGCGACGGAACAAAAACGCGACTGCATAAAAGCGCGAGAAACAAAGGCGCGAGCGAGAAACAAAAGCGCGAGGGACAAAAGTGCGACGGAGCCACTGGCATAACTAGCCATCTGACCTGGGGGGGTCTAGGGTGGGCCTGGCAGAGGCGCCGATTTTTGAAAGTCCTCATAGGCGCAGGATAATATTTTTATAAATTTGTTTATAGGGGAAGGGAGAAGCTCGCCGTAGGCGCCGGCGGAGGCGAAAATTTTTTTCCGGATGCCACACCTAAAAACGTCTATTTTATAGTGTATATATTGTTCTATTTTTTTTTTCTACGAGCGTGCGAAAAGTGCTTTTTTCTGCACGGATTTTAGGCCATGAAAATATCACATCATTATCAAAATAATTATGCCTGGTACTTTCATGTCCTAAAATCCCTTGTGTCCCGATTATTATCAAAGAATAGAGATGGAGAATAGCAACATTAGCAATATAAAGTAATGGAGCATAGAATTGACCACAAATAACGAAAGGACAGAATACTAATACCTCCCTAATCTAAGACTAATACGACATATAATTTTTATACAAAGTTGTGTAAATTTGAATTACATACATCATACTGATACTACCACACGGAACGGAATGGCCATTAAATACGTTTGTACTTTCGCATTCTCTACGAGAGCTCCGAGCACCCATGAGAGGTTGCTCATGGAAGCACCTGCCCCAATGCCCCCTTGTAGTTGGGGCCAGTGGCTTGGGGCCAGTGGCCTAGGGCCTGTTATTGCGACTTATTGGAATCTTTAAAAAAGTAGAACAGTGCAATTATACAGTGCAATATATAGCTGACTAAACCGGGCTTAAATCACTCACCTAGATAACCCAGCTTATCAACCAATGTAAAGTATATATCAGCAACACCGATTCACGGATTCACAGGAAAAATATTTTGTCAAACTCCCAAACTAATCTGTTATATTGCTAATGCTGATTTAATGGCTTTGATATACTGTATCACTTCTGCACATTGCAATTTGCACTGACATTTGGGTGGCACAATTGCACACAGCCCGTTCGTTGGTGGATCGGAAGATCGGATAGGGTCGATCGGGATCGCCGCCAATTACCGTTCAAATTTAGTAGGTAATAACATAAAATTATAATAGGTATCGTAGCTTTCATAAAATACCAAATTCTTAAAGTTTTTTTCTGGGGGGGGGGCCTAGCGACGTCTGGGAGGGGGCCCGGCCCCCCCAGGCCCCCCTGTAGTTACGCCACTGGACGGAGCAAAAACGCGAGGGACAAAAGCGCGACGGAACAAAAACGCGACTGGAATAAAGCACGATTGGACAACAACGCGAGGTATCTAACTATCTACGAGGACTGTAAGCAAAAGAGGGACACATCAAATTGTATCAATAATAATCACAAAAATGCAGACTTACTCAAACTAACCCATATTAACCCGTTCGCCTAGTGCGATCTAGTCTTCGTTAAATAGAATTTTATTTGAAAAACTAGGCGCGGTCAATGGACCCTACGCTATAAATAAATTGACTGTTTTTTTGGATAAAATGCTAACTTACGAGTACTAGATCGCACTAGGCGGACGGGTTATTTTAGGTTAGTTTGAGCAAGTCTGTATTTGCTTTATTATTATTGGATCAAATTGATGTCGCAATACGGACTTCCTCAAACTTACACAAAATAACCCGTCTACCTAGTGCGATCTTGTCCTCGTAAGCATTTTATTCAAAAAAACAAAGTTAATTCACTGATTGCTCAGGGTCTTTTGAAAGCGCAGTGCTTTTTAAATAAAATGCTAACTCACGAGGACGAGATTGCCCTAGATGGACGGGTTAGTTTGGGTTAGTAAGTCTACATAATTTCGATTAATATTGGAACAATTTGATGTTTCCCTCTTTTGCTTAGAGGTCGTCGTTGTAAATATCGCTCTTTTAATTTGTCACTGTTCTAAATCTCGTTCTTTACATATGTCGCTCTTTTGATATGTTGCTGTTTTTTTTAGATGTCGCTATTTTGAATATCGCTGTTCCAAATGTCGCTATTTTGATATATCGCTTTAACAATATGTCGCCTTTTTGATGTTGATATTTTAAATATCGTTCTTTTGAACCGGAGCCACCGAAAATATCTTGTTTTTTGGAAAACGATTATCAGTTCTCGTAGATAGTAAGGCACTTCGCGTTCTTGGCCAATCCTACTTTATCCAGTCGCGTTTTTGTTCCGTCGCGCTTTTGTCACCTCGCGCTTTGTCGCTCGCGCTTTTGTTTCTAGCGCTTTTATCCAGTCGCATTTTTGTGCAGTCGTGCGCTTTTGTCCCTCGCGCTTTTGTTCTTCGCGCTTCTATCCAGTCGCGTTTTTGTCAATCGCGCTTTTGTCCTGTCGCGTTTTTGTTCCGTCGTGCTTTTGTCCTTCGCGCTTTTCGTATCGCGCTTTTCTCCCTCGCGCAAACGGTTGTCGCGCAAATGACCCAGACCCCATGCATAAACTGACATTTTTTAATTGTTGATTTCAACCAATCAGATTGCGATTACGTGATAATTTGTACTAGTGCAGGATTATCGGATTGGATGCTTTTTTTTTAGTTTTCACATCTAATTAGCGGCAGAAAAACGGCAAATTTCCATTCACTCAACTTGTCACTACCGACATTCGTAGTGATATTGTCTCGCTAATTAAACGTCAAGTTAGCGAAACAAATGATTTTTTTTTTCAAACTTGATTTTTCATGGAAAAAAAAGAATCGGCAAATTTTTGGTTTACACAACTAATTAGCGGCAAAAAAACGGCAAATTTTCATCCACCTAATTTTTTACTGCTGACATATTTAGTGATGTTGTCTCGCTATCTTGACGTCAAGTTAGCAAAACACGTAATTAAGAAAAAACCAGAACAGCGGCAAATTTTTTTATTCCACATTTAATTAGCGGCAAAAAAGCGGCAAATTCTTGGCATAACGGAAAATCGATTTTCCGAAGTTGTCTTGCTAAGTTGATAGACAAGAATTTTGACTGCTGGAGAATGGCCTCTAACTTCATAATGGCTGAACGTTTCAGTAACATGAACACAATATTTTGTGCTATCATAGAAAATCTATCCTCCAGACAAACAGAATTCGAATAACGTTTATAGTAGTCTCCCAAAAATTAATTATGTGTTTTGAATTAAACAATAAACACTATTGACAATATTTTTTTGAAGTATGAACATGTATATGTTTCGTGTTCACGTTTTCAAGATTGATTTTTCCATTGATTAATTTTCAATGGTCATTTTTTGGTTGATTAATACAAACATTTTACTTACTATGAATAATGCTAAAGAATTGCATAAGTATTGTTAGTCCATATTCATAAAATAATATACCCTAGTACATACCTCATTGCATTGGCAGCAATCTTGTTGATCTTGCTTGTCATATTCATATATTTTTATGTCACCATCCTCAGCCTGGATCTCTTCAGATTGGAGAGCAACATCAGGAATTTGCACTTTTTCTGCAATATCTTTGAGAGTAGGCAAAGAAGATGCTGCTTCCTTTTCAGCCTTAAATATAAATAAAAAATTATTTGTAGGAAACGAAATGCATTACAGAATGAACAAGACATAACATAAGAGTATCAAATGTATAATCTAGATTTTATAATGGAATATTTTTATGCCAGCTTCTTGGCGGTCTTGTGAGTTTTGAGTCAATATTTAAATGGAAATTGGTGGCCCATGATATTTGGATGAAATTTGAATGCTATTGGGATGCCGTAAGCAACAGTTTTTACCATGGGCGCAACCTTGTACTTATACAGGGTGATTGATGGTCGATGGTAGATTAGACATTTATAGAAAACGGAAAGTTGGATATTTTCGAAAATTTGCATGCCTAAGTGATTGCTCCTGATCTATCATTCTAAAATGATTTCAACGATGCGATGTTGCCGCTTATACCAAAAAGTAATATAAAGTTTGATATTTTAAATGAGACACCTTGTATATTATTGCACTTTTCGCTCCGCTATTACTTCCTGATTATTTTTGTATAATACTGTCCTATACCTATCTCCTATCGCTAGTGATTTTCGACTAATTAATTAGTTTCTTTATTTTTTTCTTCAAAACATAGCTCTGGTTTAATTTGTATAACTATGTCACTGAGATTCGTAGAAAGTTCAAATTTTGGAGATAACTCATGGAGGTCCTGCATATTACTTTTGGGCAAGAAAATTTGTTCTACATTATACCGGGCATGCTCAAAATTAATAATTGTGCTACCAGGTACAAAACTGATGAAAAGTGCACTTTTTTGAATAGAGCACCCTGTGTATATTATGAAATATTGTAAAAGGCAATAAAAATCCCTTACAAATGATGCATTATATTCCTATACCTAAACCTAAATAGTAAGGTTTCAGAAATACAAGCAAGTTTTTGTTAGAATTGGATTATTTTAAGATATTCGTTTTCTCATTTCCATATGGCGCCGTCGGATTAACACACCTGACAACCGTGAAGGCACGTTTATATTCAATTCCCATTCAAATTGCAATCAATTGGTATTGAATGTAAAGGCACCTTCACGGTCGTCAAGTTTGTTATGCCCACGTCGCCATCTTGAATTATCAGCTGATTCGAATTGCCTAATACAGAAAAGAACCCGTTTTGTCTTTTCATAAGTTAACGAAAACAGAGGAGAAAAGGCTCAAAATTTTCTTGATTTTGGTGACACAGTGCGACACTCGAAAAAAAAAAAGATGAGTGTGTATGACAGTTCATGTTGACCGAGATGTCGACCAACTTCAACATCACAGAAGGAGTTTTTGAGAAGTTAGGAAACACATGTGGTGGAGATTTTTTATAAGTTCTGAGATACCAGATTTAACCAAAAGCACAATAGAAATTTACTACCAAAATATAAGAGTGTGAAATAAAGTTGGATGAAATGAATACTAAAATTGCTATTGTTGAGTAGGTTGAGTACGATATTATAGCAATGACCGAAACTTGGTTAGACAACAAAATCTTGAACACCAGAAATATCGAGTAAGTCAAAAAATGTAATTCGGGTGGACAGAAACAAACAAAAGACAGGAAAAAGTTGGGAGATGGTATAATCCAACAAAGACTGTGAACACATAGAATTAAGAGAAATAACCGTCGACTATAATATTCGATATCTGGAAATGCTGCTTTGTGATATTATTGTGTATGTTTACACTCTGTGTTTTTTACATACCTTCTGGAAACTTCGCAACAGTGTACGAGGATGTGCAACTGATGGTCGAAGTTCACCTGCAGGTGACCAAAGAAAAAAATTAACTTGGAGATAGTCCACAATATAATTACAAATAAGCAAGATGAATCAACTTTTGCTCGAGGTGGATTGGTATAATTTCTATCTGTGTGATTAGGCTGATGATGCAATAAATTTCTTGTTTGATAGGGTCCATGAAGTACATATGTATTTAATGTTTCTGTTCCTAAAACTACTTATAGATTAAGGGAGGCCGCACATCAAAGAAACATGAAACGTGAAACATGAAACATAAAACGTGAAACTCGTTTCATGAAAATAGCACAAGAACAAACAAATACAAGTCCGTCCACCAATGAAACGAATTTGTTTCATGCGCGAGAAACATTTTTATTACTTGAAACGTGTTTCATGAAATAGATCGCGTTCTATTTTTCCGTTTCAGTTTCACGGTTTTTGGTCATAAAAAAATTAATTACGACCAAGAATTCAATATTGTGTTCGTTTTAGTGGCAGAGCAAGATGGAGAATTGTATAAGTATAACATGGAGAAGTACTCGTATAGACAATCATAAGAAAAAGTCTGCCAAAATGTTGCCTAACAGTGAGAAGTACTGTACGGATTCACCCAGTAACGTCGTTTCCTTTATTTTTTTGGCTTTTTGACGATAATAGAAAAGTTGCTATAACAGCAGTTGTTGTTGCTCGTCAACCCTTTCCATTGTGTGCTACCTTCTATACTCCACTACACTACCAAAAGACTTTAAAAACATTATTCTTGTTTCTTCAATTAGTATGCTACAAAGAAACGGTTTCGCTTTTCGTAATTTATTGTTTCATGTTTTACGTTTCATGTTTGATGTTTCACGTTTCATGTTTCTTGTTGTTGTTGATAGGAAGACACTAAATGATAGGCTAACACAAATGAATGTGCCAGATGTATTAAATATATTGATTGCGGTCTTTTCTTTATTGTCGAAAACAGAATCTTGGACTAACAATTATAGGTCTACATCAAGAAAACCTCAGGGGTCAAACCTGGGCCCACCTTTATTTGTTATTCTTATAAATGATGTAGCACAGCTAGTCGAACAATCAAAGATATTAATTTATCCAAACGACATTAAAATTTAAAGAAATATAAATACCAACACTTACAAAATGATAAATGCGACGTTTATCAGTGGTCTGTAGATAATGGGTTGGCAATTAATATACTATCTAAGTAAATTTGTGGAAAATTAAAGTCAAAGGAAAATTGAAAAAGTTGGGGTTTGTGCAGGATTTGAACCTGCGACCTCCGCATTGCTAGTACGACACTCTACCAACTGAGCTAACAAGCCCGCCTGGTAGAGATCGGCGAATACATGATCACTTTCATTCTCCTCCCACTCACCCCAAACGTTTTTCAATTTTCCAATGGCTCACGAATGTGGCATCGGTCCTGCTAGGGTAAGTCACCTATACCACTATGTGCAGGTTTCGTCCACGATGTGTTAAAATTTCTTATGTACGCCATGCGACGTAAACATAGTTGAACAAAGGGAGAATTTTTGTCGGTTATAGGTACCGAAACTAGTTTTACAAAGAAAATTTGTGGAAATTAATTTCCACAAATTTTTCTTTTCTTTGTAAAACTAGTTTCGGTACCTATAACCGACAAAAATTCTCCCTTTGTTCAACTATGTTTACGTCGCATGGCGTACATAAGAAATTTTAACACATCGTGGACGAAACCTGCACATAGTGGTATAGGTGACTTACCCTAGCAGGACCGATGCCACATTCGTGAGCCATTGGAAAATTGAAAAACGTTTGGGGTGAGTGGGAGGAGAATGAAAGTGATCATGTATTCGCCGATCTCTACCAGGCGGGCTTGTTAGCTCAGTTGGTAGAGTGTCGTACTAGCAATGCGGAGGTCGCAGGTTCAAATCCTGCACAAACCCCAACTTTTTCAATTTTCCTTTGACTTTAATTTCCAAAAATTTTCTTTGTAAAACTAGTTTCGGTACCTATAACCGACAAAAATTCTCCCTTTGTTCATACTATCTAAGTGTTTCACAGCAGAAGATAAACAAAATCGAGAATGTGATTAACTTTTAAATAATATCAAATTGAATAATGCAAACTTAGAGGTTTGCGTATATTACATGAGAGATTTATTAGCTTCAAGTAATGATAATAATAATAATAATAATAATCTTTATTAATAGCACTTGGCTAGCAAAAATACAATATTCTTTATACATACATAATACAATTGAAGCTTCCTAGGAGGAAGTAGGTAATGACATAATGTCTTGGTAGTTTATCACAGATTGATAAAGGTATCTTCTATCATATTAATATATTCTATTATTGATAGACTAACTTTTAGGATCTTAGTACCTACCTACATACATCAAAAACTTGGAATCAACATTTTCCTTCACATATAATAAACATGATTTTTTAAAGCTACTCAGACTATCACAGTTCTTTATATTATTTGGCAGTTCATTGTAACATTTTAAACCTGTCTGATGATGATGATGATCACATAGAGAAAATTGTAGGCGAAGCACTCGAGTTATAGGGTTTTTCATAGAAACACAAAAAAAATTAGCATTCCGATAGTGAGACAGCGATACAGTGAAAGAGTGAGAATGGAACTAGATTAGGGGTCAGTTGTGTGGGATCCGAGGGGCGGCTCACTCCCAAAATCGCTGTTCATTTTCATTCGAAATCGCGAAATGCGAAACCCGATATGAAATCCTTTCGAAATCCCTACGAAATCCCGAGATCCTTCTAAAATCCCGATGAATTTATCGAAATCCTCAGTGATATGGCATCGAATATACGAAATCTTGCCAAATCCCGAAAACTCTTGAAATTGTCGAAGTCCCCTGCGATTTCCGAAATCGGTGTACAAATTGTGGTGAGTCAGCAGCCTCTCGAAGGGACCCATGTTCCATGTTATCAGAGGTCAATTAAAGCTATAGAAAATTGTCAAACTTTTTGTCTTAATGTACGTGATTATTTTAGGTATCCAACACAGTTACAGTAGGCTAGACACAAGAAGAAAACAGTTTCTCGTCATGTTTCTGTATGGAATTCTTAGTAGCTACAGTGAAGTCTGGATATAGTGAACTCAAAAAATGCATCACACTTCGTTCACTATATCCGAGGTTCACCATAACCGGTAAAAAATTAAATTGGTCCTTATATGGGAAATTTTTATGAGAATTTGGAAAAGCGTTCATTATAACCAAGTGTTCACTTTAAAGATGTTTGCTATATCCACACTCCACTGGTATATAAG